TATCGGAAATTTGCAAATTAAATCGATAACAACAAAATCGACCTTTTTTCTGTAAACTAATATTAATTATTATATAATTTATTTCGCGGATTCGCACGATTGTGCGTGTGTGTGCGTGTGCGTGTGCGTGTGCGCGTACGATAAATTATTTTCAAATTGAAAAAAAAATGTAGAAAAAAAAAAAAAGTTCATCTTGTTGTCATCTTACCGCCGTTCCGATATAATCCAATGGATCATCTTTTTCATCTTCCGGTGCACTCGGCGGACAAGGATAAAAACTCGTTTGTTCGTGTGCTTTTCTCGTCGTCGGATATTCCAAATCTAAAAAAGATGAGGTTTGTGGACGAATCCTACCATTTCCCAACCTGTATTCCGTTAACAACCTATTAAAATCTTCCCATTCCGAATCTAAATCTTCTTCGTATTGATATTCCGCGGAAAGAGGCGGCAACGATATTTTTTTCGACATTTTTATTTATATCAAAAACAAAAAAAATTTTCTTCCTTTTCCTCCCCCCTTTTCCTTCTTTTTTGTTAATAATGTAACATTTTGAAAAAAAAAAAAATTCTTTTTTTTTAATAACCACACTCTCGCTTGCTCTCTCGCGACCACAAGAATTTTCCTTGAGAAACTAAATGAAAAAGACTTGCGAGTGGACACACACACGAAATTGTTGGTCAAGAAAATTAGAAAATTTGGCCTTTTTGAACTCGAATTTGTTCTCTCTCTCATGTTAACCTTATGTACAAAAATTAAAACAATAACAAGAAGATTCATAGGAAAAACGATTCGTTTCGTCAAACGTTAGAATGCGAAAATGGCAATTTTTCATTTAAACTCATTTAAATGAAATTTTTTTTTTTTTTTCCTCGCAAATAAAAACAATGGAGTGTAATAATCGCATTTAAGCTCCCGCTTATATTATTTTTCCTCATTTCTCAAAAGTTTTCCTTTTTCCCACCACCACCTCCCCCCCCTTAACCGCCATCATCCACTTTTTCGAAATAAGGAACAAGTACTCGAATGATTTCTTATCATCGATTGTGATAACACGACATAATCTTAAAAAATAATAACAAAGCCTGACCCGTGATTTATTTTTTTTCTCTATTAAATGTTTTCAACAACTCATTCTTATTAACGATTATTATTATTATTGTTATCGTCTCCTATTCATTCATCGGAACATAATTCAGACGGTAAAATTATTTTCGTTTGTCTTGTCTTCGTCCAACAACAACAACAAAAAAAAAAAAAAATCACGACGACGACGACGACTTTGAACTAATTTTTTTCTAAATAAATGACACGACGACGACATTGAAATTAAATGTTGCTGGTTAGTGACACGAAAAATTTCAAACAACGTGAACCTGAACTTGAGTCGGAATTTTATTTCGAAAAGGCAGTGGCAGTAGGGAATAAAAGTGGCAGTAATATTACATTAATATTTAAAGTTCAACGACTTGTCATATATCCAGTAATGTCGAGTTTGCCATAAAGGAAATTTTTCCTAACTGATATAATTGTGATTACGTGCCATTAAATTTAAATTCACCTCAACAACAAAAAACATTTTTCTTATTATTATTATTATTTCTCCATGTTGTTCACCTGACCATTTTATATATAAATTAATTCATTTCCGGTTCCGGTTAATATCTCGCGTCCTTCGTCATTTATATCTGGCATTGTAAAATTTTTGTTTTTCCCCCCCTCCCTTTTTTTCGCGGTTTTTTTTTTTTTTTTTTTTAAAAGTTTATTTTTAAAACTCTTTGTGACAAATGAAAAATTTATATGCAAATTTACAAAACAATTAATTTTTAATTTTTTTTTTTTTTTTAAGGTTTCAATGAGTCAAACCTTGTTCTTCTACCTGACGCGAACTGATTCAAAACTTTTTTGCAAAAACCGTTTATTTTCGAATAAAAGGCATTTGAAAAAAACACAAAAACCTCGAATTTATTGGGGGGAACAGAAAAGAAAACGAAAAAAAGGAAAAAATTCAAATTTGATTAGTTAGTTAAATTAATCATTGCAAAACCTTAAACCTGATTAATTATTTATGTGTGTTTGTGAGAAAAGTGCAAAACAATTTTTTTTTAAAGTGCTCTAGTGCTCATTTTCGTGCTTTGAAATTTTTTTTTTTTTTTTTTTTTTTTCTAGAATGTACCTTTTTTGATTTTTTGTTCATCCTAATCATTTATATCCAAAAAAAACTTTTTTTCTTAAATTCGTTACGAAATCTTGTTAATAATAATAATAATAAAAAAAGTCTCAAATTTTTTTTTTTTTGTTTCGTGCCTAAACCTTAAATAAACCTAAACCTAAACCTTTAATCGATTAAAATTTTCTCTTTTTTTTTATTATTAAACAATTATTGAAGTGTGTCAAGTTTTTAAACAATTATTTCCAATACTGCCGATGTTATTAATAATCGATCGAATTTATCATTCATCTATTCTTTCGCCTATTTTTTTTAAACAATTTTAACAACCCTAAAATTTTTCAACCCTTAATCGAATCGTAAAAAAAAAAATTAAATTTTTTTTAATGCAATCGAATAATTAATGGAAAACGTTCACTAACATCTCCTCCTCTCTAATGTTTAAACTGTTTGTGCATACGATTAAATCCTTTTGCATATTTTTGTACATGTTTTGTTTGTTTTCTCATAAAATCCTACACAACCAGATAACTCACAAATCTTTAACGATTCCAATAGCAAACAAACAAACAAACGACTTTCCTTTTCTCTTTTTGAAAAAAAAAAAAAAAAAAATTACAAAATGATTGGGATAAAACCACCACCACCACGTGTTATTAAATCTTATTGACACGTGGTGATCGGTGATCGTGTTATTAGAAACAAACGAACAAACGAGAAACATTTAAACAAATTTAACAACACTCAAACAAAACAACATCGAGTTTGTTTTTTTTTTTTAAATCTATTCAATTAATAAATAATAATAATAATAATAATAATAATAACCCGTCGATTTTAACGATTATGTTTCTTGTTTTGTGTTATTTTTTATACAAACGATTTAAACGGTAGTTAATAAATGTCAATCATCGTCCGACATTTTTTAATTTTTAATCGATTAGTCTTGAACTAATTAATTATTATCGATTAATTATTAACAATTTTTTTCCACGTGTAAACCTATCGAATTATATATAAATAACAAACGTAAAAAAAAAATTTGGGATCGATTCGAAATCGTTTTAAAATCATAATAATAATTT